GTTATTTAGTTATTATGAAGTTTTTAATCACAAAAATTGCTTGAAACATATGCTATGGAAAGTCTGCCTTTTACTTCTGAGAAGTTTTTTGGGAGACGGGACACCAAACCAGGTACAATTTGTACCGTTAAAAATCTACTGCCTTTTCAACAAATCTACAGCTTTGAGATGATTTGACATTTTAGGCATCAAATCCAAGCGTTATTATTAATCACTGGGCTGCAATTTTACCATCAAATATTTTTGAAAACATTTAAATTCATAGTATTCTTTTAACACTTAGAATCAAAGGCTTTGATTACCCGGTGGCCAATTTATGCAGCATTGTCCCACAAAAAGTTTATCCAGGGTCAGGACACTGCAACAAACTGACCAAAATGAAATGGCAACGTGTACGTGCTTGCCATGGAATCTTTAACATCCATCTGAACAAACAGATGAGACCTCAGTAATGTCAAGGTTTGGTTTTAAAATGCTATTGATTGTATAAGGAATGGAGGATTGAGAGATAAGGCAATTTGGTCTTTAACCTCTGGGAAGGAGCGAGTTAGAGCAAGAGATGGTGCAGTGAGTTTTTTTTTCATTATTGTGAGCGTGTAGGTTTGTTTGAGCTTTGAATGAATAACGGAGGAAAATTCAGATAAGTCAACATGACACAAGTATAAATGAGAAAGACAAGAAAGGTTAGAGGGTGGTTGGACACCAGAGACAAGAGAAAAAATTACTTATTAGTACTTGTTAGATCACCTATTCTTCTATTTTTATCTCCTGTCTCAGTGTGTGTGTGTGTGTGTCTGTGTGTGTGTGAATGAGCCTCTCCAGATATGAAGTAGTAGTCAGATTTGGGGCGTGGGCTTGATGGAAAATTGCTAGATCACCTCATCTAGCTGAGACTTTTTCTCACCCTGTGATCAATATGACTAAATCCTACACAAGAGGAGGGAGTATTTAGGTTCAAAGGAAAAGAACGAAAAGATGGCATTGTTGAGAGATATTTGTTAAGACCTCAGGGATTCCACAGTATTACAGAGTGGTGTTCAGCTGCAAGGGTTATGGATTCTGCAGTAGATCAAGTGAAATGATGTGGGAATTCAGATACTTCTTTGTGAGTGAAATAAAGATGAAAAGTGAAGCCTGTGAACAGCACTGAAACATCAATTAAAAAACATTAAAAGATTATATGGCAAGTAAAATGTAATAACTGAAATTCATGAGGATTTTTATAGTTTTAAAGATCATGGTAAGAACCTTGTAATAAAACAATTGCTTTTTTGGTGTTTTATTCTGGTGACTCACTTAACATAAATAATACAACAATATAAAAATCCTTGCATTTGATCTAGTTCCTATGATGTCAAAATGCGTTACAGATAATTACTGTCAGGTATAACAATTGTATTTGTTGGCAAACTCAAGAGCCAATTCATTCACAGCAGTGTCCCACAAACAGTGGCCAAGCAAATGAACAATTTATCTGGTGGAAGAAATTTCCTTCTCTTTGACAATAGTGTCACAGGATTCCAACTGAGGCAAACTTATACCTGATGTGCTTTGCTAGGATACAATTCTATATATTTGAACCCAAATTTGAACCGTTGTGGAGTCCTGTAGCTCAGTGGTTAGAGCACTTGCTTTGCAAGTGAGAGACCTGAGTTCAATTCCAGGCAGGGCGAAACCTTGGGCAAGTTTCCTTACTCCACACGCCTAATAATAATCCCTCCAAAACCCAAAACAATAATAAATTGGTCATTTTCAATCTACGACGGTTTGTGGGACATTGCTGTGCGCAATTGGCTGCCACGTTCGCCCACAAATATACAGTCAATTCACTGTGAACACAGTGTGTTCTGTGAAGCGCTTTGAGACGTCCTCCCGACGTGAAATGCGCTATATCAAAATACAAGTATTATTATATTATTATAAATAGTAGACTATCACATAGATTACTGACTGTTTTATTTATTATATGAATTGAATGTTTTTTTTCAAAAGATGACCCACCCACATTTTACTGATGTGCATTCTTCATTTTCCTATAAACTGATGATAATTTGATGATTTATATTAATATTAATTCTTACATTTGATGTAATGCTTTCCTTTCAGACTGTAAAGCACTTCACTGGATTTACTGTAAAGTGGGGGACTGTGTGTTTTGTAGATGTACTGCTTATCTCAATGAGAAAATCTGGGAAGGACACATGTGCACAAACAAAGGCACATTAATAACCCAAGCGAGCAGCCCAGGTACTGTCACTGCCCAAAAGGCAGAGAAAACAATTTGTTCTGAAAGCCTGCAGAAAGGCGTACATTCTGCCAGAAGAGCTACGGTAACAACACAGAATTGTGGAAGTCATTGGGTCTTGACAGGATATCACTGGTGCAATTAACATTGATGCTTGTTGTCCTGTTGGGAGCAACATTTTCTAATATCTAATCTGTTAAAAAAATATTCACTGAAATGCTGCAGATGAATATTTAAAATCTTCATTTTGGAGGAAATTAAAATAAGGTGCTTTTGATGTTGCTCAGTAACATTACACTCACACACTGTGGACTACTTAGCAATAGCAGGGCTGAGATAAACTGATGCCACTGGTTATTACGGACTGATTTTTTTAATTGATTTTGTTATTTTACTAATGCAATATCATTAAAGTGTGTGTCTCCATTAAATATTTGACTTAAAAAGAAATGCTGGAAATCCACAGCAGGTCACCTAGCATCTGAAAGAGAAAGACATGATAACATGTTGAGCAGTACATTTTATCATACCTCCTAATCTTTCTTTCAGACATCAATTATTTGCTGTGCATTTCTAGTCTCTGCAGCTGTTTTTCTTTTAAATATTTAATGGTCAGATTACATCCTGGTGATTAATAATAATGCTTGTATTTGACATGACGCTTAAAATGTCAAAACCTCTTAAAGCAACAACAACAAAATTCCATTAGTATAGTCCCTTTCAATTCAGAAGGACGTTCCAAGGCTCTGGCTTCACAGACAGCACATCAAATGTTGCCAGTTTGACTCAGTTGGGAGCGCTCAAACATCTGGGTCAGAAGATTGTCAGTTCAAACTCAATGTCAGGGATTCTGAGCTCATACACTTGTCTAACGTTTCAGTGCAATGTTGGGGATGCTAACCTTTGGAAGAGCCGTTAAACTGAGATCTCATCTGCATATTTTAGAATCCATGACCCTAAAATTCATGATCCAAATCCTTTTAAGAATGGACTCTCTCCTGGCAAACAGGACTTCAAAATGAATTGATGATTTTCTCCCTGACTATTTGTAGGACATTGCTGTGCACAAATTGGCTGCAGATGCAGTTTACAGAGCGTCTGTTGGTGTACTGGAGTTCAACCAGCTCGATATGAAACAGAGGTTTATCAGTACTCCCAACACACACTCTGGGATCCCCAAACCTTGTTTTTTGCCAACCTGTGCCTAATACTCACTGGAATTAGGTATGCAGGGTGTGTCCCTCCAGAAAGTGAGTATACATTCCATTCTAAATTTTCTTGTGTATGTTTGTCCTCAAAACACTCAGTCATTTCACTTTACAGCATTTCTTATCAAGCGCTTTCCTCCCAATGGGAAAAGCACTATCTCAAATGTAAAGATTATGAACATTTAGGTGGAATTCTCTGTCCGGTTTGAATACTGTTAAGCACAGTAATGGGTTTCCACATGAGTCAGACTAACCCAGAAAATGCAGTTACTACACTGAACAGTAGTTTCTGTAAAGCACTTTTTGATGTTATAATCAATAAATAAAATCCAAGCAGTGACATAACAAGGGCCCAGGGGAACCTGGTGCAAAAGTAATAATAATCCTTGCATTGATATAGCACCTTGAGACGTCGCAAAGTGCTTCACACAATATACTGCAAAGCGAATTGACTGTATATTTTGTAGGCGAAATGTGGTAGCTAATTGCACACAGCAGTGTCCCACAAACAGTCGCGGATTGAGTGACCAATTCATCATTGTTTTTTTGAAGGAATTATTACCCCCGGAAAAGCGATCCACCAATCGACTAACAATTGGGTTCCTATTTAATGCTGGGTAAACAGAGGCATGTGGAGTAAGGAAACTTGCCTAAGGTTTCGTCGTGCTGGAAATCGGGCCACCACAACATTCCATTATTTAGGTAGCATTTCTGAACATCCAGAATTTGGTTTCAAAGTTAGGGCTAAATTCAACAATTTGCCAAATTCTGGACACCATAAACTATATAAATTGAGTAAATGTAAACCCAGTGGAATTTCTCCCAATCAATGTGATGATTATCAAAATAAATCTGTTATGAAAAATCACGAGTTTGACCCTTGACGTACAAATAGAAAGACAGAATATTACTAACAATCCACTCACTGCTTATTTTATAACTGTAAGATGAGTTGCTCACTGCTGCATTAGGATGACAGCACATTATTTAGCTTGTCAAAGCAATGCTCAGTCACGTATGTTAGAAAAACAAAAATGTGCCAAGCTTCAGCGTCACAATGGTACTTTATGATCAAATCTCAAATCAAAAACACCTCCTGATTGAAAGGACTTTCAAGGATTCTGAATAAATTGGACAGAATCCCGGCAGAGAAAGAAGAATCGCTTGGTGCTGACTGCTCGCCGAGCTTACTTTCCTTCCCTGAAGCAATGGTTAGCAGTGCCACATGCTAAACCCGAGCAGCTTCTAATGGAGAATGCTTTCCCATAGGACACTGGGGGCTGTCAGTGCAGGCTTCACTACATCACCTGAATTAAAAAGCTTTTGGATCAGATGAGGGAAGTGTCTCCTACCTGCCTGATTCCACCACTGAGCTCCGCTTTGGATATGACTGGAACAGCCTGCTCTGCGCCTCTGAATACAAGCTAACACAATAGATAAACACCACCTAACTAGGTTACTCCAGCTCTCAGGAGTCCGTGACTGCTGGAGCTGCTGTGAAAAAATGGAGAGCATTTCTGATTCAATTGATGCTCATTTCTCCATAGGTCTTGTGCGTCATGGCTTTACAAGAAAGTGAACAGACATCAGGGACATCCTCGCAAACAGGTAAAGAGAGACTTTGTGACTGACTGGAATGGAATTATTTTACAGTACCTGTATTTCAACTGTGAAATTTACCTCTCCTGAAATAACGGGTTTAAGCAGATTCATTCAAAGTGGTGCTGCTTCTTTCAAATACAAAACTTGCAGTTTTTTGCTGTGATGCCAGAGTTCATTGTTAGCTGACTATTTCTGACAGCTTTCAGGGAAATGCATCTTATTTGGTTCTAATGCTACCCTTGGTGCAAACAAATTGCAAATTGTACAGTGTCCCTGCCGGAGCCCCAACTTGCTTTTCTCCCCACAAATTTGCAATCTTCTTATTGTTTAAAATGACCCTCTCTGACTTTCATGAAAAACTGTTCAGCAAACTTGTTATTGGTGTCTAAATATTGTGGTCTAATTATTGGGGCCAAGCTCTCCGAGATGTTACCCATGTGAAGGATGCTATGTAAATGAAAGTTATTGTAATTTGCAGTGATTTGTGACAAGATTTGTTAATATAATACAATTTGCATTTATATTATGCTTTTCATGTCGAGAGGACATCTCAAAAAGCTTGGCACTGCTGGCTGAGCACTTGAGCTGGGGGTTGGAGCTGACGAGATTGGGTAGGGGAAAGATGACCGAAAGCACAGTCATAGTCATAGGGATACAGTGTATAGTTTGAGACACGACATGTGCATGCGCCTGCCAGGATGGTGGAAGGCGAACTGATGGACCTCGGTCTTTTTTTTCTAGCAATTCTTATGTTCAGTGCAAGCTCACAAGAAACTAATTATACCCAGGATGTATTTATGAAACAACTTGATTGCTGACTAGGAGAACGGTAGGGTAGGTATTCTGGAAGCATAAGAATAAATGGGCTAAAGGGCCTTCTTCATCTGAACCTCTCTTGAGTGTGTTGATTCTTAAATGAAACACATAAATTGCAGGAAGGCAGATCATTTTTACACGAAATTGCTGTGCAAGCCAATTTATTAAGCTATTAATACCGATTTGGTCTACCACTATAAAGGTGCCAACGTGGGAATGTGTAAGTTGCTTCTGAGGGAGGAAACCTAGTGATCTGTGTAATTACCTAATTAAATTGAAAGCTAACTGAAAATACATCAATACTGTGGTAACTCTTGAAAACAATAAAATAAAATATTCTCACAAACCTAAGGCTTCTGAGCTCAGAAACTGACGTATTGCACTAACAGTACAAACCCACCAGCAGTGACACAAGCTCAAGCTGCCAATCCAGCCACTGCCTCTGCAAAATACCCTGTAGAAGTAACTGTGCCAGAGATCTTGAAATCCCGGCTCCTGTAACACCAGTGTGTGAACCTGAAGCAGTAGCTTACCACAGTATTGATGTATTTTCAGTTAGCTTTCAATTTAATTAGGTAATTACACAGATCACTAGGTTTTCTCCCTCAGAAGCAACTTACATATTCCCACATTGGCACCTTTATAGTGGTAGACCAAATCGGTATTAATAGCTTAATAAATTGGCTTGCACAGCAATTTCGTGTAAAAATGATTTGCCTTCCTGCAATTTATGTGTTTCATTTAAGAATCAACACACTCAAGGGAGGTTCAGATGAAGAAGGCCCTTTAGCCCATTTATTCTTATGCTTCCAGAATACCTACCCTACCGTTCTCCTAGTCCAGCAATCAAGTTGTTTCATAAATACATCCTGGGTATAGTTAGTTTCTTGTGAGGTTGCACTGAACATAACAACATAAGAATTGCTAGAAAAAAAGACCAAGGTCCATTCAGTTCGCCTTCCACCATCCTGGCAGGCGCATGCACATGTCGTGTCTCAAACTATACACTGTATCCCAAACTATTATTTTCTAAAATAAATATATCCTCAAGCCTAAACATTGTTATTAGCTCCTTAGTTATTGACTGGAAATTGCAGTCAAAATTCAATAACTGCTTAATGCTGAAAGGACTTTTTATCCATAAATGTGTTTAAAAACTTTGTAATATTCACCCCAATATTCCAAATTTGACTATACAAGTTTAGAATAACTTTCAATTTATGCTTATTATCAACCAGGCTAAAGATGAAATGGGTGGGGTGGGGGTGGGGGAGACGGCAAACTAAGATCAGAAATGGCAATGTTTTTTCTAAAAAATATAATCAGTGCTATAATAATAATAATAATAATAATAATCCTTACATTTGATATAGCGCTTTTCACGTCAGGAGGATGACCCAAAGCGATTCATAGAACACACTGTAAAGTGAATTGACTGTATATTTGTGGGCGAACGCGGCAGCCAATTGCGCACAGCAATGTCCCACAACAGTCGTAGATTGAAAATGACCAACTTATTATTGCTTTTTCTTTTGGAGGGATTACTATTAGGTTCTGTGTGGAGTAAGGAAACTTGCCCAAGGTTTCGCCCTGCCTGGAATTGAACCCAGGTCTCTCGCTTGCAAAGCGAGTACTCTAACCACTGAGCTACAGGACTCCACATCAGGATGTAAGACAAATACATTTAATTAGTTGTTTTCTCTCGCCCCACTACTGTTGTTGCCACTCTTGGATCTTGGAACTAAGATTAGACTTATTTGTCTCGAATACGTGATAACGTGCTATATCAAATGGAAGGATTATTATAATGTGGTAGGTTCAAGCCCCACATTGGGACTTTGTGCTCCTGTTCTAAGTTAACATAATAGAACATCATATATTTGCCATATGGTGCTGGGGAAATGCTGCATTGTCGGAAGTGCCACTCTTCAGATAAAACATTAAACCAAGAACCTGTCTATTTGTTCAGGTGGATGTTAATCATCCCAAGGCACTGTTGGAAAAGAGAAAGGAGTTTCTCCTAGTGTCCTGGCCAATGATCCTCCTGATAAAAAAATTATAATTCGCTTCATGGCAGTTTGTTGGACATTGCTGTGTGCAAATTGGCTGCTATGTTTCCCCACAAAAACAAAGTCACTGCACTTTACAGAAAAAACTCTGTGAAGAGCTTTGCGATGTTTTGAATTGATAAGGTGCAACATCAAATGCAAGGATTATTACTTGTTCTTATGCCCTGTCTTCAGATAGTTACAAGAATATAACACATCCATAGTTTTCAAAGTGAGAGCAGAGCCTGCTCTATAGCTCACATGAAACTGGATTTAAATGTGATTTCTCAAGGCCAGAATGCTAGTTAGGACTAGGAATTCCAATTTTCCTATTCAGAGTGTATTTTTTCAAAGGGACAAGATTTATTCTTAGATTCTAGAGAGGAAGGGGCAAATCTTATCCCCGTGTTTGTTAATTCAGCAGTCTTACAACATGCACTGCCAAAGGTTGTAAATGTACTGACAAGTGGAGAGATGCATCCTCACTGTCAAAGGCCAGTGAATACTGACAAAGGGAGAATATTTTCCCTGAAGATTTCCGACAATGAAATCCTGCAATATTCAGCACACAGGGTACATACGGTAGCAGAGCTCCCCTGATAACTCATAATAGTCCAAGGCTCTTTCATAATTCAACAACAGCAGCAATGATTTACACTCATTAACTATATATTTAATGGAGAAAAATGTCTCAAAGCATTTTACAAAGCCTGAATTGGGAAGGAGGTGGCGGGGTGGGGGTGGAGGGGGAGGCTGAGCTAAAGAGATCGCTTTTAGATGGGTTTTGAAAGCAGAAAATGAGGGAGCGAGACATTAAAGATTTCGGAACAAGATTTCTGATAGATATTGATAGAGAGAGCAGGCAAAACGCATGATAATCCAACCTGTTACAAATAATTAGAACTTATCACTCAGGCTGAATGTTGGCTGACAGGTCTTACTGAGCATGAAAGAATGGAATTAACATCAACAGAAATAAATGGGTGTCTAAAATATGATGTCTAATGAGCTTCCTTGGTTAGGAAACCGGAAGTACATCACCAACAGTATGATCTACTGTTGCAGTACAGTTGCCTTCAGTCAGCATGAAATGTGTAACGTGCCTCCAGTTAAGCGAATGAATCCACACTTCGATAGCTTATTAGGGAATCCTGTTAGAATCCTATTAACTGGGCCCGTTATTGTTCAGCTTTTTATGCTGTCGGGCACAGTAGCTCCTTTCAACACCCTGTAATTAAACAGAAATATTCAGAACAAACTAAATTAATAAGAAGAATGTAAATATGAATTATGATTTTATATGTTATAATCATTTGAACCTTAATAGGGAGAAGTGACTCCACCTCTCAAAATAGAAAGGAAAACTGGGGGAAAAGTGTAAGCAATTTGCATTTTCTTTGTAGTTCATTATGTAACAAAAAGCAATGTTTTTAAGTCCATGATTGCTGATGTGGTAATTAAAAGGATTGAGTGAAATAGTAACTAACCCTGTAATCAAACCTTTTTGTGTTAGAGTAATCATCTGTAACACAAATAGCCAGCTTTGCAAGTCTATTTTTTTTCTAAATGTCAGAAACTACTAAAAATAACATAATTAAAACATTAACCCAAAGAAAGAGATATTTTCTTAAATAGAAGATGCTCTTTAATACAGCCCCGGCATCTAAAGGTCCACCAATAAGATTTCTTAATGAAGAAATCATTTCTTAAATATCCTTTATTTTCAAATCAGTGCTCTGACCTTCAACTACAATTATTTTTCAAGTATATTATCTAAAAAGCACAGAAGCAGCTGTACCATTTTATGTTTGTTTAGTTAAATAAACTATGTTGAAATGAGAGCATTGGAAATCTTATCCACCTGGTGCTCTTTCTGCCCAAGATGATTTGCACTCATCTCCATTGCTCTGTGAGGAACATAGTTCTATTTACCCAACGGAATACTTGGTTTAGTCACTGCAATAGTGTTGCTCAATTTAGTTCACATTCAATAAAACACAACTCAGATGCAATTTCAGATATTTATCCAGAAAGACCAACATCTAAGTCATCAAGTTGCTAGTGTCACTTACTGGTTTGCATATGCGATAAACAGGAAGTGACACTACAACCGGTCTTTTACTGGAGAAGAGCTGCAGTGTC